TCCCCAGGCAGCTGGGAGGTGGTGCAGTGGACAGATTTGGGTATGGGGAAAGAACATCTCTTTCTAAGGAGCACTTGTTCTGGGCACACCAGGATTTCCTGTTCCCAGCACACAGAGATCTCAGAGCAGCCAAAAGATGTATCTGCTGCTCAGAGCTCAAATCAAATACTATGATCAAAGCTCCTTCATTCACAGCCTTCTCCATCCCTTCCCTTATACAGAAAGTGAAATCCGAGTCCGACTGCAGAGTGCGTCCCCATCTACTCGATGTAAGTGGTCACTATCTTGCTGAAAAGAAAGGATCCAGGAATCCAGGGCTACTTCTGTGTGTGTGCGTGTGCATGTATGTGTGTGTGTGTGTGTGTGCGTGCGTGTGCGCACGTGTATGTGTAGTCACCCAGTCATCAAATGACCCTAAGGGCCTTCTGTGAGAGGTAGCCTGGGCTAGGTGCTGGGGGCAAGGGGCTGAGAAAGTCACGGTCCCTGCTGCTCAGTAGTTCACTACTCACGGGGGACAGTAAACCAACAGAGCATGACAGTGCAGATGCCGGGGGAGCAGGGGTCCAGAGAGGCCTTCCTGCGTTAGTGTCACCTGAAGGGTGGGTCACTCAGGCTCAGAGGGGAGAGCTGGTGGGAGACACTGGAGGAACATGTGATGAGACAGTGGAGGAATGCTCAGTGTGGCTAAAGGAAAAGGGTCAAGAGGGGACCTGATGGGATAGTTAAGATTAGCGAGGGGCCAGAAGTAGACTGTGAGAGTTTGAACTTTATCTCAAATGCCAGGGACTCCCCAGTCTCTGTCCATTGACTATGTTAGATTCATGCTCTTGTTAGACATTATTTGACAATTTGAAATGAGCCCAATGATTAGGGCAAGTGCCAGGTACAAAGGGTAGGAGGAGAAAGAGTTGGGCCTGCAGCTCAGAAATCAGACCGGCGCTCACCCGAAGAGCTCAGGGCCTGGGGCTGCGGGCCTGACTGGAGGCCTGACACCACCTCACCTGAGGCCTTCCAGGTGTAGCAGGTGTGAACCCAAGGGAGGGAGCTTTCAGGGGCAGGAGGGGCCTGGGCAGTCCTCTGCCATGGGTTGCCTGCCAATCTGTTGGTGTCCTCCTGTGCACCGCCCTTGCTCCCTGCCTCCCTCCTCTCCTGTTTGCCACGTTGGGAGGCACAGGCAGCTTGCTCCACTAGGTCACCTCGCTGCAAATAACAGCAGCCAGATGGACTGGAAATTAACTCACAAGAAAGTATCACAATGTTCCTTTTGACACTCCAGAGCATACCACCTGAGGTGGTACGTGCAGAGGATGAGACCACAGTTGAACCATTTGTCTTAAGGGGTCTGGTTCTGTATATGACGCAGGTATAGATGATCCCCTCACCCCCCAATCCAGGATGACAAGGTCTTCTAGCCAAAAAGAATGATCTCTGTGGTGTCTGATGAGGCATAATTAGAAAATATCTACCAAGGACTCTGACCTCCTTGCAGAGGCACTATATTTATGAGGCCATTAATATTTCAAAGTATCAGGTTGGTAAGTGCTATAAATTGAAAAAATGCAAAAATTACAAGGCTAACCCAAAATGTCCCAGCATGTGAAGCAGATGCCATCCTCCCCAGCAGTCAGAGTGCCATAAATGTCCCTCCCACTGCAGTTTGATTCAGGGTAGAAACCTGGTCCTAATGGACGATCTGGGGGTTCTTCCACAGGGACAGAATTAGATGATGTTAAGCGTTTGCTCAAGGGGAGCCGATCAGCAAGTGTGAGCCCCACACGGAATTGCTCCAACACACTCCCCATCCCCAAGAAAGGCACCGTGGAGACCAAAATGGTGACAGCAAGCTCCCAGTCAGGTAAGCCGCTGGGCCCCAGGGTGCCATGGCGGGAAGGGAAGCCAGTGACAGATTTGCCCAGGAATTCAACTGCACCCTGGGGGCCTTCAGGCTCTGGCAGCCACTTGGCGCGGGCACTGTGCACTTGCTCTTCATGCGGCGTGAGAATGTGGGCCCGCCCTTCCTCGTTCTCTCTGGCCACCAGTCCCGTGTGCGTGCTGTAGTCAGGCTCTGGATCCTAGGGAGTCTTTCCCAGGAGACTGCTGACATCTGCGTTGGCCAGGTTTTTAAATATAAAACCAAAACCTCAGGGTACTTGACGACCTGTGTGGGCTCCCTCTCATGCAGTGAATAGGAGAACTGGCTTCAGATCTGAAGAAGCCCCAAAACCCCCTCTTGGGGGCAGAGCGCCCCTTGGGTCTGGTTCACACATAGGAATGTTTAAGGAGGGTATCGCCGGAGAAGGCTGTCGCCTGCGCAGTGTGGCCTGGAACCAGGGGCTTCCCTACCTGCTCTGGCAGTAAGCCTGGGATTCTTCTGTGAGGGACTCACTACAGGGGCCTCTTTCACGGCTTCCTAGCATCTCTGAAAGTGGAGTGAGTAACAGATAAGAGAGTGAGGCCACTGGTAGTAACAGCAGACCAGGACATGGGGAGGGGGCTTAGAAGGAGGAATGGGTACACCCAGAGCAAAATTTACTACTTTAAATTTTGTAAGAGCCAACAAGAGTGTGTGATCTCAGAGATCACATTTTCCCAGCCCCAAGATTTCAGACAGCGGTGAGATGACCGACTGTGCGGTTTGCCCTGGACTGCAGGGAGTTTCTCCAAGGCTAAAATCCAAGGAAGTCCCAGCAAACCAGTCCAGCTGGGCTCCCGCAGCACAGAGTGCTGATCTGTCCCTCGCTGGGTGTGGGTGCGCATGTCTATTCCCAGTGTCCGGCACCTACGACGCCACCATCCTGGATGCCAACCTTCCCTCCCACGTGTGGTCCTCCACCTTGCCAGCGGGGTCCTCCATGGGTGCCTATCACAACAACGTGACGACCCAAAGCTCAGCCCTCCTCAACACCAATGCCTATTCTGCAGGATCAGGTATGTGGCTTGGGGCACATCCCCTCACACCCCTGAACCCTCCACACCTTTACCTCGAGCAGAATGACCCTTCTGGTGTTTGCCATCCCCAAGACTTGCTAGAGGGACTTTCTGTGTCCAAACATCCCAAAACTTCTCACTGGAACTTCAGTTCAATTCTCTAAGGTGTTTATTTTAGTAGGTCCCCTACAGAAAGGACTATCTAATACAGTGTATCAAAAAAATGTAATGGGAAAGAACATGAAAATGGATGCAAGGAACCTAGTTTGACTCCCTGTGAACAAACTGTGTGACCTTGAGCAAGTCAGTTATCCTCCAGGCTTTAAGTGCCTTCTTTGTAAAATGGTCTCCAGCAGGAGGGTCTTTGGCTAGACCCAGTGTCCACTCCAGGCCTGAACAACCTACGACCTATGTCCACCCCTTGGTCATGACCCAAGGCACAGCACAGACTAATATTTGTTTCTCTGCCACTAGGTAAGAGCCTAAGACTTCCCTAAAAACAGAAATTTAACTAAAAAAAAAAGCAACCTTGGCGTTTTGTCTGGGGCTTCTCTGGTGCCCCCTGTTCTGGGCTAGACGGCCCTCCCACCACCACCCTTCCTTCCCCTCTGCAGTCTTTGGGGTTCCAAATAACATGGCGTCCTGCTCCTCTACTCTGCAACCCGGACTCAGCACCTGCTCCTCAGGTCAGTGCTCACGAGCTTGAATCACTTTTTCAGGCGGCTTGCTTACAAATATAGTTATGCTCCCTTCTGGGGAGGAAAACAGAATGGATTCTACAGCAGACGCCCTTCCTGCCCAAGAGCATAAGGGCTTTCCTCCATGCACATGGTAACACAGAAGCCAAATTGACGTAAGGCACAGGGCCTGCCCTCAGTACAGACAGAGCTCAGCCCCCAGGGAAAGGTCTAAGGGGGAGGGGGCCAGAGATCGCACTTATGCGCTTATTCTGTTCTGGTCCCTTAATTTTCTGTGCAACGTGGAGAAATGAAAGCAAAGGGCTCAGAACATTTTCAGGTGAAAAGCATCTTTAAATTAGAAGGATCTTATTTCAGATCTCATTGTAAGTAGTGGGACTCAAATAATGCTACTACTTAGCTTCCGATGCAAACGTATGACCATTTGAAAGAAACATTTAGTCACTCAACTTCCACATACATCAAATTAGCCTCTCTGTAAATAAATTACCAGCTCACACCTTCTTTTAAAGGAACATGACTTGTCCCTGATAGTGTGACTAATAAATATAAGGATATGGGCCATCTTTATGTACTTCGCTGGCCTGCAAATGCAAATGAGCACCCTAATTTTTCACACCTGCAGTTGACTAGAGTCCCACCAAACCCCAGAGAAACTCGGTTTATGCTTTGCTTCTTCTGCCCTTGCTACTTCCTGTTCTCTGCAAATTCCTGAATGAGGAAGATGGGCTGATATTGGATCCACGATCTTGAAGGGATGGAATAAGAGGAGCTGGTAACTAGACAAGACTGAACATTGTACAAAACAAACCAGCCTTTGAAATAATAATGGTGGTGAGGGGAGTTTTATGTGTTTGAGTCAAAAGAAGGAAGAATTCAAGAGAAAACTAACAATTCTGTGCCTCTCATCCCTGTTGTGTCTGTATCCTATGCCTACAGTTCCCACATTGTGCACCAAGGCACCCCAGGGGTCCTCCGGGAACCCCTGGCATATTTTTTAATTTCAAGGGATACAGAGACATCTGTAATCCACATGTGTAAACTACTGCTATTAAAGTTGTGTAGACCTAAGTATACACTCAATAAATGGAACTCTTAGTAACTTTTAGCTTGGGGAGGGTAGATGGAGTATAAAAAATTACTGTGTCAGAATTAATGAAGACTGACAAAGTTTGGGAATCTCTGTCATATCCAAAGGCATTTATCATGAAAGTAGCTTTGGTGGCTCCTGGGGGGCTGCCTTAAGCTGAGGGGCCCCCTCTCTGCACCTGTACTCACCTGTCCTCAATGTCTTTCACAGTGTTTGGCATGCAGAACAATCTGGCCCCCAGCTCATCTGCTCTGTCCCACGGTACTGCCACCGCCTCCACAGGTCTGTAGCCGAGGTTTAGGGCATCAGAGCCGGGAAGTAACGCCTCTTTGCAGCTATAACTCACAGTACCCCTTTTTAGCACCTACATTAGAGAAATGAAAATGTCCCTAAAAATTAGTCGACCTTTCCCACCACAGAACTAGCTCCCCACCCTACAACCTGGAGATGCCAACCTTGAGCATTTGCTGGCTCAGACATGAGGGAAACTCACAGGGGAGCCTGTGCTGTGTGTGTGTGTCGGAGTGTGACCTGTGTATCCCATGTCTCATTGCTATCCCTGACAGCCCACTGTCACTGCAAACCAAATCTGGCTGATTTCATGGTGCACCCCCACTGCAAACCTACCTGGGGGGCCGGTGTGGTGGGGGGCAGAAGGGGCCGGAGCCTCAGCCTTTGCCCTCACCTTGTGCCATTGGAGCAGGAAATCTAATACCCATGAAACAAGCGGGGGGCCCTGTAAGACAATATGAATCAAATTTTACAGAGTAGGTGTTAGGGCTGTACGACCTCAGAAGGGAAGGAGATGTGGGAAGGCCTAGGAGGACTTCATGGAGGAGGTGGAATTTAGCAAGAGTTCTAGAATGATGAATATACCAAAGAAAGTTCTATCTAAACTCATTGCTGCACACATGACTGGAGTTGATTTCATTATTCATTATGATGATGATTCATTATTATCAATTTCCTCTTGCTGGAGGAGGCTGCCTGTCTACCAGGGCTGGTCAGGCTGCTGCTAAGCTTCATGGAGCCACCCTTCCATGCTGGCCCTGCTCACTTAGTGGTTCCTTTCTTGCAGCATATGGTGTGAAGAAAAACATGCCCCAGAGCCCTACAGTTGTGAGCACTGGCGTGTCCACCTCTCAGAGTGAGTGCTGTCCCCAGCTGCAGAAGTCAGGGGGGTGCAGAGGGAGAATTGCACGTGGGACCCATAGCACGTGGGAGGGGGAGATATAACCCCCTGGTGGTCTAAGGTTGCAAATGCAACTCACCCCAATGACCTCATGGTTGTCTCCATGACTGAGCAGAGAGAGCGTGTCCCTGACCTTACCTTGGCCTTCCTGTCCAAGGGAAGCAGGAAGCTCGACGGTGCACACTACATAGGGCCAGGCACATACACCCAGCCCCCACCTTCCTGTGGAAGCCCCTAACCTGCTCCCATCACGTTACTCATCACAGCAGCCAGGGAGCCCCTCAGAGGCTGCATCACCCCCCTACTTTCTGTAGGATCTTTATCAACTTGGGCTCGTGGCACACGGAGGGCTTTTTCCTCCTTTGCTCTGATCCTGCTGCGTTTCTTTCCATTTAACAATTCATTCATTCAAAAAGTATTTACTGAGCACCTGCTTTGGGTACACACACTGTTCTAAGTGCCCCAAGTACAGACATGATCAAAGCATGCCAGAGTCCTGTTCTCACCAGGCTAACAATTCCAGTGCAGACAGGTAAACAAGTAGACAAAGTATGAGATAATAACAGAAAATGACACATATTTGAAGGAAAGAAATAGGTGAGGTAGTAGAGAAGGGAGTGTGTGTATGGTAGATGGGGTAGTCAGGAAAAGTACTGCCCAAAGTGGTAATAATTGAGACCTGAGGATAGAAATGAACCCACAAAGTTAATTAAAGAAGGGCCTGCCCAAAAAGGGACTTTTGCCCATTTACTAAAGATCCTGTAATATCCAAGTGGAGAGGCAGCCCCATAGGCCACCTGCCCAGCACTTTGACATTGACCCAACCTCCTGATGGCCAGGCCCCGCCAGCAGGGGATGCTGTCTTTGGTCCCCAGTTACCACTGTCAGCAAGAGCAGGAGACATGCCAGCTCATCTCCCTCCTTTCCTCCCCTCTTCCTTTGCTTGGCACCTTTTTCTTCCTTCTCACCCACCTCTCTCGTCTCTAGCCTGTACCACAAGTGTCCAGAATGATGACCTCTTGCACAAGGACTGTAAATTCCTGATCCTGGAGAAAGACAGTGCGCCTGCCAAGAAGGAGATGGAGCTGCTGATCATGACCAAGGACAGTGGGAAGGTCTTTACTGCCTCCCCCGCCAGCATCGCTGCAAGTATGTGGGAGCCCACGTGACTGGGGTTCAGCAGAAAGGCAGATAGTAAAGAGACTGAATGTCCTAGCAAGGTGGTTTTGAGGTGTTCTAAAAATGAAACCCGAGCCATCCCATTCAAGTGAAAAGTGCCTGCCTGAACCGGGTGTCCCAGGGTGTTCCTTGAATGTAGACAAGCCAGGAAAACTCCAGTAAAGAGCTCCCGGAGAGGTCTTTGGACAACAGTAAACGTTCTAACCAAAAGCACAGATGTGGGAGATTCAGCCCAGGGAAGCTGGGGCCTCTTCCTACCAGGGCGTACCAGCAGGACAGAATATGGGGCAGCTTTGGGGGAGTGAGGAGAGAATATCCTGGGTTATCATGGCTTGGGTGCATGGCTTCTTTTTCAGAGGACGCTCTAAAGAAAGAAAAGCAAGCTGCCTCCACTGCTGACACCTGCCTAGTATCAGAAGCTAATGGTAAGAGCAAATCTGGTAGCTGTCACCTTGGTTTCAGCCAATCCATGTTTCATTTATTTGTCTTCTGAGACCTCGCTACTCAAAGCATGGTCCCTGGTCTAGCAGCGTTGGTAACACCCAGGAACATGTTAGAAATGCAGGCTCCCAGGCCCTAGAGCACACCTGCCGAGTCAGAGGCTGCATTTTAACAAGGTCTGCAGGTGATTCGTGTGTGCACATCATCAGTGCACAGCTCTTCCCACAGCCATTCTGGTTCTACAGTGGTAGTTTTTTTCTCACCTTACACTACCATAATTTTCTGAACTATTAGAAAAAAATGCTTTGCAAAGCACTTGCTAGCTTTATTTTTTTCTTCCCAAATATCTGGATTCTTTCCTGGGTAACTGAATTTCTTCTCATGCTCTGGGTTCTCTAGAATCTCTCCAAATCACTGATTTTAGGGAGATTAGGAAAGGAAGAAAAAAATTAAGTCATAGAACATATTTTTTAAGATGCAAATGAAATCGGTTACCATCCTCATCTGCCTCTAAATTTTCTTCGTTAGCAGTTCTTTACATTTTAGGGGTGGAAGTGGGGCTGTGGAGCCAAAAAACCCTTTTCAAAATCTGATGGAAGTTGTAAACAATGTCCCCAGAAAATCCCACACTCGGTGATCACAGAGCATCAGGGGCTCCTGAACAGCTGTCCTCCATGCCCGGCCTTGCTGCTCAGTTCCTTCCACCCCACGTTAGGAGCCTGTGTCAAAGCCCCATAACCAAGGAATTATTTCTCATAAGCACATTTATTGTTTGAATGCAAATGTTACCCCTAACATAGAGCTCCCAAAGTACCTTGGACTTTACAGGTTTAAACTCACAGAGGGTTAAGACACTGTTTTTTCCCACCATTAATTGCTGGCCAGGCCATGCCTTCATCAATGCAGTCACTGCAAATACCAGATCAGTGAGGACTGAGTTAACGGGCCTGACCCACCTCAACGCACAGTTTTGTGGGCTCCTCCAGTTTGAAAGCACAGTTCAAAAAGTGTGTTCTCGGTGTTTGTCTTTCAGGAGACGTGAAGACTGTGCTCAAGGGCAAGGCTGCTTCCGCAGGTGGGTGAGAGCAATGGTCCCGGGGACAAAGGGCTGCTCCTGCTGAATGCAACGCACCTGGCCCGCTTGCCTGGCGCTATTGCACACACCAGCCACCCAACTCTAAAACAGTTTCCCCGAAGGCTCCAGGGGAGCCTGGTGGGGTCAGGCTGGGGGTGGAGCTCACGGGCCATGCCACTCCTGCTGGACACCCACTGCCCACCCTCAGGTCCAGGGTCTCCCAAACATGGCCGGGGCGATGCACCCGGGCTCCTGCGGTGTCTTGCAGCAGGCTCTGCAGGCCTTCGCTGTAATATATCCCCAGTCCTTTACACTTTCCCCACTTGCTCCCAGGCTTATGAGAGAAGCGCGTCAAGGGTTATCAGTCTATTTCATACTAATATAGAGCAAATACTCTTTTCACTAAAAAACTTAAAATCTTCTTGGCCACTCCTTAAGTACTGACTGTAATTCTGGGCACTGCAGGGATTCCAAGGAAGGAGCCATGTGAACTGAGACGTGGAGAAGGGAACGCTTTAGGTTTGGGTGAATGAAGGGCAGGAGGAAGTGGCACATCAGTGCTCATAATGAAGTTTTTAAACCTCGTGTCATGTGCTATATCCTCTGTGAATTACTTCACATGGTTATCTAGTTTATTCAGTCATCTAAGATAACCTTTTAACTCCATTTTATACAAAAGGAAACAGGTCATGTGACTTTCTCAGGGTCACAGTTCAGGCCCATGAAGTGACCTGCTCTTCACCAGCCAGGGCCCTATGTTCCCTGCAGGATCTAGCTTCATGTTTCACAGAGCTGCCAACCCCGCTCACACTCACTTGGGCTGCTGGGAAGTCACCAAAAGCCAGAGAATTTGGAGGGAAGAGGGCAAGACCCTCCTGCATTCACCTTACCCTTCCCTTCTATTCCACAGATGTCCATGGCTATGACCGGCATGGAGGCGGGGGCGGGGGCACATGGGGGACGGTGCCAGCCTGGTGCCCCTGCGGCTCCTGCTGCAGCTGGTGGAAATGGATGCTAGGCCTGCTACTCACCTGGCTGCTGCTCCTGGGGCTGCTCTTCGGCCTCATTGCTCTGGGTATGTGGCAATCATGGTAGGGCAGCAGGCCTCACTGCCTGCTCAGAGGGCAGGAACTAGAGAGTGTCCCAAGTGTCAGGGGCTTAAGGGGCCCAAGATTACTGCAGACCCATTGTTACTGCAGGTGAGGAAACTGAGGCTCTGAGAGACACCTGGCCACAGGTCCATGGCTGCTTAGTGGCAGAGCTGGGACTCCAGTTAGCGGAAGCTTAGTGGCAGCTCCTGGTTGCGGACCAGGGCCCTCCGTCCCTGCAGCAGCCAGCTCTCAGCATTTGGCTGCCCTTAAGAATCAGGTCAGGCCTTCTAGCCTTTTTCTTTTCACCTTTTCCATGCACTATATCAATTTCTCTATTGACTCACACCAGCTCCCAGGGGGAGTGAGGCCAGCTCTGCCACCATCTCAGATGAGAAGACTGGCTCCCAGGCCAGGTTTCTGTAGGGCTCAGCTATGATTTCGAGTAGCTAATCCCTCTGGTGGCCTCAACAGATTGCCTCTGCATAAGCATTCCAGCAAAATATCCCCAGCCTCATGGAGAAGTCCCCACAGACCCCAGGGCCTCTGTTTCAGGCTCCCTTTGAGGACTGAGTGTGTGCTGGGGACGCACCGGCCCTGGGCCCACCGGCTAAGCTGCCTTTGTCTGTCTGTCTGTCTGTCTGTCTCAGCGGAGGAGGTGAGGAAGCTGAAAGCACGTGTGGACGAGTTGGAGAGACTCAGGAGTGGTGCAGGATTCCACAAGGAGGCCATGGAGAGGAGCAGCAAGGACCAGCTGCTGT